ACTCATCTGAGCTCACGTCGAAGGTGAACGTGTCAGGGGGAGGGGAAGGGGGAGAGGGAGAGGGAGAGGAAATGGAGTTGTATCCGATTGAAACTAATTATTATGTATCTGATTGAGTATTAATAGGATGTTTGCGTTTGAAACTAAATATTATGTATTCGATTGAGCATTGATTATTAGTATGTGAATTGCATGGTACATATCCGATTGATTATGGATTTTTATTTGAGATTATTGATTGGTATGTGTGTTATTGTGATTGTGATTGCTTGTGGATTGATTGTGGATTGATATGTAACAGCACGAGTTTAAATTTTTAGCTGAAAGTGGGTATAAGTAGAGTCTGCCAAATGGTCGGGCCCCGGCCATTTTGTGCATGTACACGAAACGATCGGGGTTTCTAAACCCGACCATTTTATCGTAGGAAAATTCTTCTCTACTAAATGGTCGGGGTTCCCAACCCCGAACATTTTCAGCTCCATTCGGTGACTTTGCTGAGCTCTCTACCATATGGTCGGGTTTGGGATCCCCGACCATTTCAAAATAGGCTTTCGAAATGATCGGGGTTTCTAACCCTGACCTATTAGACAGAGCTTTAAATTAGTCGGGGTTGACAACCCCGACTAATTTAGTTTGTACATAGCTAAATAGTCGGGGTTGGCAACCCGACTATTTAGAGGCGTCATTAAAAAAGACCGACCCATTTTGTGGCCACGCTGCTGACGTGGCGACGAAATGGGTCGGTTTTAAGAAATAAAATGGGAGTGAGTCAATTTTTTTAATAAAAAATTAAATGGGTTTAATTTGAAAATTTGTTCATCTTTTCTTTTTTGCTCAGCTGCTCTTTAAACATATAGAAATAAGGTGAAGTCTGAATCAAATTATGAGTTACCTGAGAAAAAGGTTTTCAACTTATAAACTAATAACTAAGATGAACTGTGATGATTATCAATGATGTCTTTTTTTTTGCTATAGAAATGATATAAACTCTAGACCGCCCATGAAATAAACTAAGAGCATCTCCAACAGCTTCCCCAAAAATTTCTCCAAAATGGGGAATCAAATGTCATATTCTCCAAATTATTTTTGCTCCAACTCCAACAGCTTCCCCATTTTGAAGAATCATGCATTTATTACAATAATAAAAATATTCTACATCTTTAACTAATAAATAATAAATTATTTATTATTTTGAAGAATCCCCATTTTGACCAAATTATTTATTATTATAATGAGGAGATGGAGTTGTTTTTTGTGGGTTGAGTCTAGAAGAACGTGAAAAAGTGCTTCCCCAAATATTTGCAGAATGCTGCAGATTTGGGGAAGGCTCTCTATTTTTTCTCTCCTATCCCCATTTTGGGGAATGAGATGGGGAATCTGTTGGACCAAAAAAAAGCTCAAAATTCTTCAAATTTTAGAATACCAAGAAGATGGGGAAGCTGTTGGAGATGCTCTAACCTTCAGCAAGGATCATCACGACAGACATGAAACTGCCATGAGTTACTTCCGAAATCATCCCCACAACCCACTGACCCTCTTTGCTCTTGTCAAGATCCCAAATTGAAGCACAAACCCCATATAATTCCAACCAATTTCTTTGATCAACTTCACTTGTTAATACAAAACCATGCAAATCCATCACGAGAACATGAATTCGATATCTTGATGTGCTGTCGTCATCGCATAATAGAAAGCAACCTCAACAGCAACTCTAAAATTTTTAAAAGAAATAACACTCACAACGGCAGCAAATTCCCTTCAACCTCCAAACCTTTCTTCTCCTCTCCCGCCTCCAGTCCATGTCTGAGATCTCTTTCGCTCTCATCAACATCCCTATCACATCAAGAAGAAATTCCAAGTTGAAGTTTATCGTACCCTCCCTCCCCCATTCCCACACCCTCCCTCACTGAGCAATTATTCCTCATCATATCAATGAAACAGTGACAAAGGAAAATGCGATGAACAAGTCTCATTCTCATCCCATCATCAAAAAAAGGAAAAAAAATAACGTAGAGAGGGCGGATGAAATTTCGTGCATAACCTTTCGCAAAATGTCCTCCAAGTTAAGGGAATAGATAAAAATTGAAGAGGGGTAAAATAAGAACAGAACAGATGAACAAGATGGTCAAATTTTGGCTCACCTTTTCCCAAAAATACCCTTAAAATCCTAGTTTATAAAGGAGGCTAGTTACCGAAATAAAAAGCAAAAATGGATAGAAACTAAAAGGAAAAGAAAAACTTATACAACTTTTAAACAACTATGTAATATTGAATAATGTCATTTTTTTCTAAGCACATCTACGACTTGTTACTGACAGGTTCAACCATCACGTCAAAACTCTAAAGTTGTGGTAAGAGTTGAGGTTATATTTTTATATTCTAACAGAAAAATCTCAAGCCTCATTTATTTACTTCCATCTATACTAAATTCTAAAAAAAGGAGAAAATAACAAGTTACTGAAAATATATGGTTTAGACTGAAGGTGGGCGAGGAGATAAAAAGTGCAGAGGAAGAAGAAATAAGGAGATAAGATCGTAATTTCTTTAACTTAGGTTTAGAATTGGTAATATTCTAACTGCTAAATTATAAAGAGTTTCATCTAAACATGATGAAATATAGACCCTCTCCGATCAGGTGGTAATTGGAGAGGGTCCAATCACTCTATTAATTGTATATTATAATTTTAAGTGTTAATACATAGCCATGTAAGGTTCCAATATTATCTAGAAAATCACTATTATCTTAAAAACTGCTATTATGAAAACCACCTTTGGGATAGTGAACTATTTTTAATTTTAATTTTAAGGGTTAACATGATGGATAGTCTGAGTTGAGTTATAAAGGAAAAAAATAAATAAATCAATTTTGAAGAAATGATGAGGTATGAAATCCAGCCATTGATCTCAATTTTCTGGCGCGAGAGCATCGACTGCAACCACTTCATTAAGTTAATAAATGCCCTTAGAAATAACATTAATCACAACTGAGTATGTAACCCATCCTTAGTACTAATTCCTCAATGCTCTATGAGCACATTGTGGCATACACCATACTAATAGGAGTTGGTAGACCTTATAGCTAGGGGTGTTAAACCGTATCCGTATCCGAGGAAATATCTGTAACCGTATCCGTTAGGATACGGATATGGTTACTCAAATCTATAACTGATAGGATATGGTTATGGATATGGTTTTGTAGTGAAATATTTGTATCCGTATCCGAGATATCCGAATACATATTGGTCATACTATTACGATAGTTTCAATTCTTAGATTATGAATTTGTGGTTAATTTTGATGATCAAAATGTCTAATCTTAGTTTTTTAATCATAATGGACATATTAACGAACTCTTTCGTATCACATGAGCTATATTTTTCTCAATATTATCTAGTTTTCTCATATTCTTTTTGTATCCGCATGCATATCCGTTTATATATCCGCATCTATATCCGTAACTGTATCCGATTTTAGCGGATATTGTTATGAATTTTTCTTACCAACATATATCCATATCCGTATCCGTATCCGGGATGTGTAAGCGGATATGGATATGGCAAGTGTCATATCCGAGCCGTATCCTCTCCGTTAACACCCCTACTTATAACAAAAAAAATTATTTAATTCCATCATCTTCACATTTACATATGATTTGTGCCACATGGCGTATTCTATTGATGTGGTGTATGCCACCTTACTATTCAATGAGCACCCTTGGTGGCCACAGGTTTTCGGGAAAGTGGAGAGCTGAAAATTTAGTGTTTTAATTCTATTCTCTGCCATTGGTACTTCCAAAATTATTTTTTGGAGTATCAAAGATGTTGGCTTAACTTATACCAATTTACATACTCCAACTCATTTCAATTAAATTCAAACCCAATGCATTTAATCATTGATCTTGCCCTAACGAGAAATTGGACGCATTTTGTAATGTAGGCAGTGGCGGAGCCACCTTAGTTCAAGGTGGTTCACTTGAACCACCTCAGCTGGTAGAGGAGGAAGAGGGAGAGGTCGGAGACGGCGGAGGGGGAGGTGGGGTCCAGGCGGAGGAGGAGGGGGTGGGTGAGGAGGGAGTGGGCGAGGACGGCGAAGGAGAGGGGCAAGACGAGGGTTAGGGTTAGGAGGGCGAAGGTGCGGGGGGCGGAGGAGGGGATTTGGATGGAGTGATGGACTATTGACCAGAGGGAAAGCGATTCTAGCTCTTCCTCCTGCTGGAGCTGCTCCATGAATGAATTTTGAACCACCACTAAAAATGGTGTAGATCCGCCACTGAATGTAGGGACTCATTTAAAATTATTTGAATAATTTGAGGGACCTAATAAAAATATTAAAATTTTGGGGAGCTAATCTCAGTATATGAAATATTTGAGCTAGTAATATCGAAATAACCTAAATTTAAAGGTTGTTTGGTTGGCTGGAAATGGAGTTGCAAGAATAAATAGAACTATGAAATATGTAAATACATTATTTAGTTTACAATTTATAATTAGGAAATATAAATAGACTTACATTTTGTAAATAAAACTTTGCAGCAAATGCTACGATCAATTTGATAGGAGGAAAAACTACAGACTTCAAAAAAGAAAATTAAAAATTAAAAATAATTACACCTCATCAAAAAAATTCCAAATACTAAATTTGCATTGAATATACCTTTCCAACAATATAATTACAGATATCTAAACAATATATTTTGAAACTGATTTCGCATTTGCTACAATTTATTTTTACCAACAAACCCAAACAGTAAAATGGGCGAGTTGGAAAATTAGGAGATGGTTGGACAGCCTATGAGTAAAGAGTAGTGTTAGGGGCACACCCCCTATCACACCACTAACCATACCCCCTCTCTCATGCTACAGTAAACCGGACCCCACATGGGATTTTAAAATTTTTAAAATCCCATGTGGGGCCTGGTTTACTGTAGCGATGGGAGAGGGGGTGTGGTTGGTGGTGTATTGGGGTGTGCCCCTAACATTATTTATGAGTAAATTAACCCAAAAAGAACATTTATTAATATCAGTTTCCCGCTACTCTGCCTCAACTACTCCCGATCGTGGAGCTCCGATCTGGCGGCGGAATCGCCACCGCCACCGACACATATTATGCGGTCCAACCTTCGAATGGAACAGCTCGAGGTTATGAGGTAAGTTAATGCAAGCGCTAGGGTTTAGGGTTTATAATTCTACTGAAATTCCCCCCTTTTTTTACATAAATTTTCATATATTTTCGTCATATCTAGGAAAATTTATGCATATTTTATTAGCCGATAGGGGAGATGTCACTGGGCAGCGCGAACTTGGAAGTGCGATTTATAATCTTTAATTTCATATATCATTAAATTCATGTTGAAATTTTAGTTATATTAATTTTGCAATATTAAATGCATCATTAGCAGTCAAGACAGAAAAAATCCTGGAATTGGACATCGTACAGTTGAGTGAAACGATGCAGAGAACTGCTGGTGAAGATCAGCAGGTTAAACGCAAAATAACTTGATATAAACAAGCATCATTCATCATTTTATTCTTATTTGGAAAAGAAAAGATGGAATGTGCGATTGAATTTTTTCGCTTAGTTTATATTTTCTTCAAATTTTCATAGTTAGACATATCTAGTTGGTGATGCTTTGCAGCTAGTATGGCTATGGTTAATTGGGGGAGAATAATGCAGTTTCAATCATGAAGAAAACCCTTATAAGCTTTTGTTTCTTTTGTGATTCGTCCATTTTATTTTCATCCTCGTATTGACTACAGTTGTTAATTAGGAAATTGCAGAAATCAACAGCAAGAAAATCTTGACGGTGATATCGTGTTTCTATTCCTTTGTACTTACAGTAAAAAGCCACAGAAATAGAGATGTTGAGGCTTGAAACAATTAGACCCAAAACCATAAGTTAAAAGCTCATGTTTTAAGTTGAATATTTTTCTATCAGCTTTTCACTGTGGGCATGTAGCTTAAATAGACACATTAATATCTTGAAATTCCAAAATTTCTAAAGATGGATACAACGGCGTGCTACATTTTTGAAATATGATCATTCATCCAATCCAATTAATGGCTTTCTGGTGCTATGAAGTGTCAGCCTAGCCATTTGTCACGGAGACCCACTTCTTTCATCTCTTCATTATCCTCGTTGGTATTTCTCATTAGAAACCTAACCAAAAACCCATGAAAACAATCATCCAGAGAGTGTATATTGCCCCCACTAAGTTGCCTGGGTATGGGTATGGGTATGGGTGCTGGTGCGGGCACGGGTACAGGTACGAGACACGGTAAATTTGTCAAAAGTAGGGTATGAGGACACAACTATAAATATGTATGTATATTACGTATATTTATATGTGTTAAACTTAATAATTTACATAAGATCAATATTTTTTTATTTTTATGAGATCAATATATTAGAAATAGATGTGAAGTGTAGAATATATCTCCAAGAAGTGTATGAGGAGTGTTTTAAACTAAAGCATGTGGTATATAATTGACTATAAGCTGACAGAAACATATGCATATATCAAGAAGTGTCAAAGAAGTTTGGGTATGGGTATGGGTACGTGTCCGATATGGCTACGGCTTCCAAATAGAAGTACCCAGGTGACATAGCTGCCCTATAATTGAAATATCGTGTTACCTCACAATAAGCCGATGATGCAATTATACTCGCTCTTGGGGATAAACAACATTGATTCTAACTCATTCTTTTTGTCTTTGAAGTTCTCCCTAGTTGCAGAATCATTGTCTAATAGTCTTCTACATTTCCAGATTGGCACCATGGTAGCTGCTACTCTCAATTGCCAATTTGGATCCTTTTCTTATACCAATTACTAAATTTGGATCAGTTTAGCCCTTTACCAACCACATAACAACTAAAATTCAATAGACTCAAGCATTACCATTACAAGTAACCAAATGCACAAACTGAACTTGCAAATTCACAGTAATCAACTTCATGATTTTGTAGATATGAACAACTTCAAAATACAAGTAGCTTAGTTCGTCTTCAATTTGTGGCTGCCCTCTCTCTTTGTTCTATTTATTTTGCTAGTAAGAGAAAATTTCTTATTGAATAAACAAATGAACAGAACCATATTTAACATGAAGAAATGTATTCATGCATCTAAAACTTTTTATTCTGATTCCATTTGGTACCATTGAATATCATATAAAAAGGATCACATTCATTAAAGATTTCATAGAAAAGAAAACTACATATAAAATTTGGAGTATGGGCTTGTCTAGTATACACTAACATATTTTCCTGGGCATTCTTTTTCTGAATGCTAAAACACATGGCAGATTGAGATCACAAATTTCCTTCAAGATCTCCCACCCCCATGCTTCCTCACTCATTTTCAGATGAGGGACTCTGAGAATGTTGACATCCATTCTCATCCTCCGTTATGGTAGTGGAATGAGCCGGTCAAACCTTTCACTACGCATTCTCCCTCACATATAAGTCATTCTGGCTTTTGGTAGCTTTCGACTTTTATGATAAAGACTTTATAAAACTTGCATGGGTAAAAAGTATTTGCTTGGTCAAATCTAGCTTATTTCGATGAGCTCATGAACTAGTTTTTTAAAAGTTGGGGACCCTAACTTTGGCTTCAAAGCTAGCTTATTAAAGATATCACCAAACATGTATATATGAATTAGCTAGCTTATAAGCTACCTTGAGTCCTTAACTGAAAAATAAGCTCTCCCAAACACCGTCTTAGATGGTTCCACTTTCAAAAAATGTATTAAAATGAAAGAATCAATGACTATAGAATTCAAATCCCTAGATATTCTATCAGGCAAAATGGAAGTTGTTGTCAAAAAATGCTTAAATTAACTACGACGTTATGTTGATTTTCCGATAAAAGAAAAAGGCATTATGAAATAAGGAAATATTTCACTAGCATTGACCACATAAACTCCCTGGGATGTGAAGATTAACCTTTCTTGGTCTCACTCTCAACTCTCTGAAGTTGTCGAAAACTATACTTCAAGCATGTAGGTGCAAGTGAAATTGTTGAGGTATAGCTTAGTCTGGAAGATGTGATTTATCCGTTTACTTTTAGTTCTAAAAATAAGGGTTTGCTGTCATTTCTTGTTCCTGTGGCCTGTGAATTGGGAGGAAAGAGGGAAATTAATGTGCCCTTTGTTTCATTCGTTTGTGTTATTTGAAAACAGAAAAAGGGTCTAAGAAGGGGGCAAGAGAAAATAATTTCTATAATTTGACCCGCCATTTCAACATCAAGAAGTTCAATCCAAGGCTTTTGATCTAAATTGAGATGGAAATTTGTTATTGAATAGAGAAATTTTAATAAGAGAAATTGAATCAACAACCGAACTGATAGGATATGTAATTTCCACTCTCCATTCCCTTTTCTTCATTATAACCAAATAGAATGATTGGAACATGCAGACTCCTAAACATGGCTCCCATAAAACAAACGAAGGAAGGATAATTCAATGAATAAAACTCTGGGTTTCTGGGAAAATTTTGATCACTGCGTTCAAATTGACCTCTCAGAGAATAATTACAAAAACTACGAGCTGATATCATATTAAATTAAAGGGAGACATTGTACTTACGTACCCCCCAACTAAATCTTGGGATCAGATTCTAAGCCTTACATGAAAGTTGCTGCAGTCAAACTGTTTACGCGTTGCTGCCTCAGCTCCAGGAGTAGAGAGACCCATGCCAACTGCAACAGACTTGTTTGAGTTGCCCACCTACATCTATGTCCATCCCCTTTTATAGGTATTAGAAAGCCATAGATTCATCCCCCAGAATTTGGTACCTGGATTTGGCATATAAATGCTTTGATTTCCTTATTGTCAAAACAGGTAAGATGGCTGTCACCAAATCGGTATCAAGTAGGCTAGGATTTGATTAAGATGTTCATGAAGAAGGATCAATTTCAGGTGAGAATTTGCGAACTTTTAATCTTTCAATTTTCTTAAAGATTCTCATTTTAAACTTTCCATGCCAGTGTCTAGTATAAGGTGTATAGACATCACTATAATTGCCGAACTATTATGCTAATTTCAACTACAGTTTACAGAATGAATGGGTTTAGCTCACTGTTTCTCCCCATTACAAAAGCACCTATGTTATCTTTTATCAGTTGATAATGCTTTTACCATCAAAATTTGGAGGCCTTATGGTTTATATTGTAACAAAATTTGATTCATAAGTATTTTTTTCTCTAATTAAATCATAACATAATAGAGTCTAAAGGTCTTCTGGTTTGGAGTCTTTGGACTGATTTGTTTTTCATATTTATTATCAGAATGAACTTAGGGTGCCGTTGTATTGCCTTACAGTTGATTGGGCCGAAAGCTCAATGACTTGGAAGAAATTAGTTTTAGTCTAGTAGATTTCACCATCAAAAGAAGTTGATAATTTTGTAGCAAGAATCGTGGATTAGCTGACAGGCTATCATCGCAAGAAGCTTCATTGGTTGTCCGGATATTTAAGCCATGTTTTTATCTTTCACTCTATATGTTTGTTATCACCATGAATTCATGAACTTATGGTGCCTTACATTGCCTTACAGTTGATCGAGAGCTAAAAGAATGCTTCATTGTGTTCACTATGGTTGAAGATCGGTAATTTAGAAGAAAGCTTAATATCCTTCTTAATTGCTTTGGTATTTGCACAAATTTCAGAGTAGATCCCTCTTTTTATATACAGAAAAATCTGTAAGGCAAGTACTGGCTTGAATCTAGTTATTGGAAAAATGTAACTTCAAGAACACACTCAGCACTTGAAAAAGCCTCTCATTGTGCATTAGCAATTTTACTTGCATTCTCCTCTCTGAGATTTCGAATTCTGTTTCTCATCTTCATAAATGAATGTTCCAAACTGCTTTGTTCAATTTCAGAAGATTAATTAACTTGTCACTTTTGCTGCTTAGTGAAATAGCAACAAGTGGGCACTCCAAAGGACTGTTGCAGACTGTAATTAACCCCTACTCTTTCAACATTTCCTTCCTCACCATCTGGCTGCGGCAACTCATTACTCAACCAGGAGAAACTTGGGTGGTTCTCATCCTTTAGAGTTACTACCGGATATGAAGCACAATCAATTTTAATGCATATATGTATGGCTATATTACCACTTTCCATCTATGTGTTCCCTTTCCGATGAATGATCCTAAAACCAAGTGGCAATTTCTCCTTTGGCATCCAGGTGTAGGTTGGCAATTTAAAAGAGCATCTTATTTGGTGTTACCATTAGATAGGCGATCATCCCCAGTCTCAACATCTTGTGTGATCGATGGTTGCCTTTTCTGCCATTTATCCATTTGGAATGAGGCAATGAGTTGATTTTCTGCAACTATCATCATCCACAAAGTCCTCTCCTTGGCTGAGATATCGACTGCCAACATCAAACCGCATTAGCATTGGAGTCCTCTATCAGTGCCACATGACAGTCAGTCATGTAAGGTAGCAATTCTTTTATTTCTACAGCTCCCATGCTTTGGGAGGGCTTATACATTCTTCTTCAACCTTTACATTACATAAAAACAATTGCAATTCTATATATGTGAGCATCTTGACTACAAGTAACGACATAATATAAACTGAAACTTGCAACTTTAGGATACATGACTTCATGGATTTGCAGAACTGTAGAACTTCCAACCGCAAGTAGTTGAATTAGTCTTCGGTTGGAGGCTGCTTTCTTCTTTTCTTAAATTCTTTTGCTTATTAGCCACAATTTCTTTATTGAAAGAAGATTAGCAAGGAAAGCATCATGTGTAAACTTAAACTAAAATTTTTATTCCGCTTGATGCTATACTGAATTTGTTTACGCGTGTGTCACATAAGAAGGATCACATCCATTAATAACGTACTGAAAATGAAAATAGAGTGACTTTGAAGTACATAGCTGCCTATATAGACTGACATTTTCCTTGGGACTCTTTTTGTAGTTCTAAATTTCTTTTTACATAAACAGTGAGGCCAAGCCAGTTCTAGAATTCATTTCCATGTCACTCCTGTGATTTGCAATCATCCTTCAAGATAACCCGCTCCAGTACTTCCTCAGTTCCTTGCACTTTTGGATGAAGAACAGAGAACTCCAAGAATGTTGAGATTCATTCTCATCCTCTCTGATTTTCATGGACTTGATTGTATGATACTCTCTTTTCCCACTCTTCCTGACTAAGATAAATAAAAAATTTGCCTAATCAATATGAAAGTTTAAATATAATCTTCAAGACTTGAAATAAACAATAAGAACAATAAATGCTCGAAGGCTGTTTTTTCTACTAAGAGTGCATTAGAATGATAATAAAGTAACGATTAAAGAAGTATATGACTAAGGTAATGATACTCTGTCAGAACAGATGCTTAAAATAACTATGATATTATGTTGTTTTTTCGTACAAAGAAAAGATATCATGCAAGCATTTATTACATAAATCTTTTGGATCAAATAAAATTTTAATTAACAAAAAGGAAAGAATATGAGAATAAAGATTGTTGGTTTCGACCATCAACTAGTCATACTGAATTTTAAACTGTACTTAGGACATATAGATGCAAGTAATGGTTAAGGTATAACGAAGTTTAGAAGAAAATCTAGTTTTACTTTAGTTCTAAAGTCAAGGGTTGCTCTTCATTTGTTGTTGTTGCTAGGACCTGTATATTTAAGGGGAATGGGAGGACAGGGATTGACAATACCGCCCTTTGTTTCTTAGATTTTTGTTGACATTAGTAAACTGACAAACG